TATTATAGTTATAGCACCGAGCTAGGTTGCGTGCACCGAATTCTGGCTTTTCGGTTGCCACCGAATTGCCTTCTACCGAATTCGGTAAGGATCTTTTCGGGACTCTTCGCGACCCGCGGAACCTTCGCGTAACACCTGGTTACGGGGCCTTGTGTCGAGCCTATATATAGCCTCGTGTTGTACCCAGGTGACCATTCAATTCGATTTGAATTATCTTTTGTGAGCTCGATCCTAGATCCTCACACTTGGTAATCAGAGCGGGTTTACACGCGAGGTCTTCAACCGCTTAGTTCCGGCCTTTAAAAACCGCGGGGGCGACGACGAAAGCGCCGATACGGGTATGTAAAATCAGTTCCGCGCAATTTTTCTAAGTCCCCCTCGATTCGGTTTTCGAACACCCCTCAGATTTACTGGTTGGAAAGGTTGGAGTTTCGACCGTTCGATCGAGTTGCATCTCAACGGCCCAGAGAATTTCGCCCAAAAAAGTTGGAATTTGGAGCGTCGGATTGATTTTCTCCTCAACGGCCGAGATCGGACGCGAATTTCGCCGAAGGGAGATTTATGCAACCTACAGAATTCGTGCTCGTCGATTCTACAGTCAATTTGACTCGCAGTAAATCGACCAGCACCTAGAATTCGATTATTTTCGTCGCGCATCTTCCTGTAAATCACCAAATGGAGGGAAAAGGAGATATTTCAGTACAGAAAATCGCGGAGTTACGTGCTGAGCATAAGCAAATACGTGCGGCGCTCCCACGACTCAAAAAACTCCTTGCGAACCTGTCGGCAACCACCATAGCAGCAGCGACAACAGTAGCAGCAGCAGCAGCTGCTACACCGACAATTCTACATGCGACAACGGCAGCAGCTACAGTTAACCTCGAAGCAGTGAAGCTGAGGCAACCGGAGGCGTTCGATCCTACAGTAAAAAGGAACGACGCTCGTCGATTTGTAGCTGAACTCGAAATTTACTTCGAAGCCGTTAGATGCACGACCCCGACAAAAGACGCAATGCGCATACAGCTCGCAGCAACACTGTTACGAGGCCCAGCTCTAGAGTGGATCAACAACAGAATAGTCCAAGGCGAGGGGACGTGGGCGCAGGTTCCGGCAGCACTGATCGAACAGTTCGACACGTTGAACAGTAGCTACTACGGAACACGACGCAACAAGCCAACTAGTGGCATGGGGCGATTGGCACCACCCACGACTGCCGACCCGATGGAGAACGACGAGGGCGATGTGGAGCAGCGGCTAGCAAATAATGAGACGTACAAATTTTGCGGCGCTACAGGACATCGTATCTTGGCGTGTTGGAAAAAGAAGAGAAGGTGTACGGAGCTGAAGGACAAGAACAGTGCGGCACCCCCGAAGCAGAAAACGGACAACGTGGCAACTTCGGAGAGGGCGAAAAAAGGAGAATATGGTGGCGCAAATTTAAAACGTCACGACCAGCCGGCACCAGGGGAAATCGCCGAGACTAATGGAGGATCCGCGAAACAAGACCCTGCACCGACCGGGAAACTCCAGCCGTATACCCCGACAAGTAAGAATATTACTTCTCGTGGGTTCCAAGCCTTTATTAAGGGAGAGTCAGAAATTAAACCGGTACCGGGTATTATGGGGACCCTACTCCAGAGCGCTAATACGGGTCGAGCGTTCCGAGGAGTTAATATTCTCTCCCAGCAGCACTGTTTAAAGGCTCCCTGTTCCCCACAGATGAAGCCTACACAGCTGCAAAGGCTTAGTGGAAGGTTCCAGGCCCAAGAGAAGCCGAATCGGCCTCGGATAAATCCTTCTAACCTTTCTCAGTTGAAAACTGATACTGAAGCTGCATCTTTGAGCGCAGGACCTAGGGATAACATATTCGACGTACCCTACGATCCTATAAGCGTTACCATCTACGGATACTCGGAGCAGCAGCAACCACTAGTACTCGAGGTGATCTGCAACGGGCGTCGCCTCCAGACCCTGGTGGATAGTGGTGCGTCCCATTCGGTGTGCGACCGCGGGACGTTGGAGAAAATTGGAGAATCCTAAGAAGAAACCCAGTTTACAGCAACGATGGTGGACGGTACGAAGCTTCCCATCCACGGAAAGTCAACACTGCAGCTGCAGATAGGGGCGTTGAGGTGGAAGCCGACGTTGCCGATCACAAACATCAAGGGATTCGATTTCATCTTGGGGCAAGATTTTCTGAAGCGGTTCAACCCCAAGATCGACTGGGTCAACCGGAAAACGTGCATCTAACAACAACGGGAAACGAGTGGAGCTGCGAAGCTTGACGGATACAGGGAGCGTTCCTGAAACGACACTGGCACGGTTCGAACGGACAGTGAACGAGAGTAACACGGGTTACTTAGCACTGGTTATAGCAGCAGCAGAGGAGGAGGTCTTGGAGCAGTACAAGGATATAATGCCCGACGACCTACCCACAGGCGTACCTCCAGCACGCACCCACGAGCACGAGATCGTGGAGGAACCAGGTGCGAAACCCGTCTCACGTGCACCATACCGACTGAGTCCAACTGAACTGACAGACATGAAAAACAGATAGAGTATCTACTGGACAAACATCTGATCCGCCCATCCACCTCTCCCTACGGTGCACCAGTTCTCTTCACTCCAAAACCAGACGGTAGTTTACGGATGTGCATCGACTACCGCGCACTGAACAAACAGACAGCACTGACTACAGCGCCAGTACTCATCCTACCGGATCCAGACAGAGACTACGTGGTGGAAGCAGACGCTAGTGACCAAGCAGTCGGAGCAGTACTGATGCAGGATCACGAACACAGTTTGCAGCCCATCGCTTACCTCAGTAAGAAGCTATTACAGTGGAAGAAGGACTTAGCTGTAAGGAAGGGTTTAGGTTAGATTTGGGTACCGAATTACGCCCCGCTACGGCAGATCCTATTGGAGGAGTTTCACGACGTACCTTACGCGGGACATTTTGGGAGCAACAAGACGTTAGCAGGGATAGCAAAGTATTACTACTGGCCCGGGATGGCAACAGACGTGCAGCAGTTCGTAACCTCATGCGACACGTGCCAGCGGATGAAGAGCAGCAAGCAGGAAAAAGCAGGGTTACTTCAGCCTCTACCCGTACCAGAGCAGCCATGGCAGGTCGTTAGCCTCGACTTCATCACAGGACTTCCTTCGACCTCACGGGGACATGATTCCATCCTCGTGGTGATCGATAAGTTCTCCAAAATGGGTCACTTCATACCGACCAACGCCACAGCTACAGCTGAAGCAACTGCTCGACTCTTCTTCGACCGCATCATCACCATCCACGGCATCCCCGCTACACTCATCTCAGACAGAGACCCCAAATTCACGAGTAAGTTCTGGAAGGAGCTCATGGGACTGTTGGAGACAAAGCTTGCAATGTCTTCAGCATACCACCCCCAGACTGACGGACAGACGGAGCGACTCAGTCAAGTGGTTGAACAGTTACTACGCACAGCTTGCAAGGACGACGTCAGCCACTGGGACACACAGTTACCAACCCTAGAGTTCGCTTACAACAACGCATCACATGCGGCCACAGGAAAAACTCCTTTCTTCCTGTGTTACGGACGGGAACCACTCACACCACAGCAGCCAACCACGCCGTCATACGTCCAAGCCGCACATGACTTCGTCACCACCATGCAGCAGCTATGGGAGAAGACTCAGCGACGTCTCACAACGATGCAAAACTCCCAGAATCAGTATGCCGATCGTCAGCGACATGATCACTCAGTAGCAGTCGGAGATCAGGTGCTTCTTGACACGCGCAACTTGAACCTGTCTCACCTCCCATCCAAACTCCGGCCTCGCTTCTGTGGTCCTTTTCTCGTTGAGGCACAGGTGACACCAGTTACATTCCGCTTGCGCTTACCAGATACATGGAAGCTTCACAACGCTTTCCATGTCCAGCTACTGAAGCCCTACAAGGACCCCAACCAACAGTTCCAGGGACGGCAACTACCGCCACTGTTGGAATCACTGAACAGGAATGGATGAACTAGCAGTGAAATGAGTACAAGTACCTAACCCTAGAATTGTGTACCCCCTATAGGCTAACCCACTGTAGCCTAAACTAACACAACATATATAATGTTTGACTGCCACCACCACCTGTTCTCATATAGGATGAACCCGAGTACGAGATCGAGCGCGTTCTCACCCATCGGCGCCGCGGTGGCAAGACCCTCAAGTTCCTGATACGCTGGAAGGGATACGACCCCACTGAGGACAGTTGGGTTGCAGAAGCTGTTATGGGCAGCGCACCCCGTGCTCTCAAGGACTATCTTGTCAAGCAGGGTGTATCTCACGCCACCCAGCTTTGAGGGGGGGACGTGTGAGAGAACGACGGCTTATGCCAGCTATGCTTGCTTGCCTCTACTTTATCATGCTATTTCTAGCATAGGATAATCATATGCATGCATGAATTGCTTGATTTCCTAGGCTAGGTGCTTTCCTATATTTTATTATAGTTATAGCACCGAGCTAGGTTGCGTGCACCGAATTCTGGCTTTTCGGTTGCCACCGAATTGCCTTCTACCGAATTCGGTAAGGATCGGTTCGGGACGCTTCGCGACCCGCGGAACCTTCGCGTAACACCTGGTTACGGGGCCTTGTGTCGAGCGTATATATAGCCTCGTGTTGTACCCAAGTGACCATTCAATTCGATTTGAATCATTTTTTCTGAGCTCGATCCCAGATCCTCACACCAAGGCCAGCAGCACACTCCCTCGTCCCAGGAGGTCCGTGAGTGGTACTCTCAGCACGGGGGTGGGGGTGGTCTTAGCTGCACGTACGTCATTCGCACTGGTGACCGCACTGGTCAGCAGTGTGGACGACCGCACGCCACACAGCGCTGCTTCTCTCGTCTCGACGACGCTTGGCGTGTTCAGTTCCCTCAGGCCACTGAGCTGCCCCGCTGGCTTGATCTCCTGAAGAAGGGGATTGATATCTATGCTCTAGACTTTGATGCTATTCTATCTGCCATGTATGTGATGTCTACTCGTGGAGAGGGTGCTGAGTACTTGTGTGTGCCGCCCGACCCGGGCATTAGGTCCAGTGCGTCTGCCGCTCCAGGTACTCGCGTGTCGGCTACCCCAGGTGCTGGTGAGGCTGCTGCTCTAGGTGCTCGTGTGTCTCCCCCCCTTGGTACTGCGTCGACTGCCGCACTGCACACCTTCACACTGGACTTAGGTGCTTCTCGCTGCTTCTTTCGTGACCGCACTGCCCTTGAGCCGCTTGCTCGGCCAGTTGCTGTCTCCCTTGCTGACCCCTCTGGGGGTCCGGTCATTGCGACCTCTTCCACTGTCCTTCCCTGCCTTGTGGTCCCGTCGGGCACACTGTCAGGTCTCCACCTCCCCTCGTTCTCTACGAACTTGGTGGCAGGATGTGCACTCCAGGACGGGGGTGTTCACCAGTTCACCCTTGCCTACGAGCGCGTGACACACTGCACGTGTGCTCGTACGGGCCGTCACTTGGCTACTTTCACTCGGCAGCCGGGGTCGGACCTGTACACACTGACTACTGAGTCCCCTCAGGTTGCTGCAACTGCGTCCGCGTCCGTGTCAGGTCCGCTGTCCGCAACCTGCTCGTGTCGCTCTTTGGCACACGAGAGTGTCCTCTAGCACCACCGCCTTGGCCACCCGTCTGTGCAGCGGCTTCGTGCCATGCACTCCCGGTACCTTGTCTCTGGCCTGCCCAGGGTCCTTCCTGCCTTCCCACCCTCGCCTGCTCCTACCTATCTCCCCTGTGTCGAGGGACGGCAGCGCGCCGCTCCTCACTCCTCCTCGTTCCCCCCGACGACTGCTCCCTTGCAGACACTCCACATGGACGTGTGGGGCTCAGCCCGCGTCCGTGGTCAGGGTCAGGAGAGGTACTTCCTGATAGTTGTTGACGACTACTCGCGCTACACCTCGGTCTTCCCCTTGCGCACCAAGGGTGAGGTCCCTGATGTCTTGATCCCTTGGATCCGCACAGCCCGTCTCCAGCTCAGCGAGCGTTTTCACTCAGACTTTCCTGTCCTACGCTTGCACTCTGACAGAGGTGGTGAGTTCTCCTCCGACCTCTTAGCAGCCTACTGTGCTGAGCACGGCATTGAGCAGTCGTTCACGCTACCGGCTTCTCCACAGCAGAATGGGGTTGCGGAGCGCCGCATTGGCCTGGTCATGGAGGTCGCCTGTACCTCCTTGATCCATGCGGCTGCCCCCCACTTTCTGTGGCCGTTTGCGGTCCGGTATGCTGCGCATCAGCTCAACCTCTGGCCCTGTGTCTCCTTGCCGGAGACCTCGCCCACGCTGCTGTGGACGGGGGAGGTTGGCGATGCGTCGCGTTTCCGGGTCTGGGGGTCTCGAGCTTTTGTCCATGATTCGTCTGCGGACAAGCTCTCCTCCCGTGCTGTTCCCTGCGTCTTTCTCGGCTTTGTCCTGGACGCGTCTAGTTGGCAGTTTTACCACGCCACCTCGCGCCGAGTCTTGCCCTCCCAGGACGTCACTTTTGACGAGTCCGTCCCCTACTACCGCCTCTTCCCCTACCGCACTGCCCCGCTCCCCCCCCCGCCTCTCTTCCTCGCGCCAGGTGCTGCTGTTGCAGACCCCCTCCCCCCTCAGGGTGCCGCTCCCTCAGGTGTGTCTCAGGTAGACCCGGCTGAGCCTGTTGAGGTAGCTGTCGACTCTCGTCCTCCTGGGGGTGCTGAGCCTGGGGGTGCTGAGCCTGGGGGTGTGGAGCCTGGGGGTGTGGAGCTTGAGGGTGCTGAGCTTGGGGGTGTGGAGCCTCGTGGTGCTGAGCTGCAGAGTCCGGAGTCTGGGGGTTCTGAGTCTGGAGGTACTAGGCCTCGGAGTCCTGCACCTGGAGGAGCCCTCTCCTCGGAGCAGCTGCGTGCGTGGTACTTAGAGTACTGCAGCCTCCGGAGAGGTACCGCTCGAGCCGGACGTACTACTGGGACTGGTGCTAGTGCTTCTTCTCCCGTTCGGGAGCTCCCCTCCCGCGAGCGGATCTGTGAGTGGTACGAGCGGCGCTGCACTCTTCTGAGTGGCGTGCCTCGTGTTACGGACCCCGCTGCTGTTGGAGCTACTGCTGGTGCTGAGGGCCCGGGCGTTGGAGCCGCTGTTGGTGCTGAGGACCCGGGCGTTGGAGCTGCTGCTGGTGCTAAGGACCCGGGTGTTGGAGCTGCTGCTGGTGCTGAGGACCCGGGCGTTGGGGCCGCTGCTGGTGCTGAGGACCCATGCGCTGGAGCCGCTGCTGGTGCTGAGGACCCACGCGTTGGAGCTGCTGCTGGTGCTGAGGACCCAGGCGTTGGAGCTGCCGCTGGTGCTGCGGACCCGGGCGTTGGAGCTGCTACTGGTGCTGAGGACCCGGGCGTTGGAGCTGCCGCTGGTGCTGAGGACGTGGGCGCTGGAGCTGCTGCTGGTGCTGCGGACCCTGGTGCGGGTGTCCCTGCTGGCTCTGGTGTCGCTGCTCGGTCTCGGCCGTATTTTGTTCCGCTCCTTCAGCAGGTTCTTGGTCAGCTTCCTCCTCCTTTTCCTCCTCCCTCCTTAGTGTGTCCTCCGCCTGTCCAGCTGCAGTCGTAGCTACCATCTGCCTCCTCTCTCCCTGGTCCTGCTCCTTACACTGGTCCGATTGGAGGTCTTACTGAGTGCCGTGAGCCTGCGTCTTGTCCTGCGTCGCCTGAGTCTCGTCCTGAGTCGCCTGTCCGCACTGCTCTCTCTAGTAGTCGAGTCCAGCGTCAGCGTCTTCCTGCTGTCCCAGGCACTCACCGGATGGCGCTTCGTCTGTCCACTGCTCCACAGCGTGTCCCACTGCCGTCTCCTCCTGCTTCCTCTCTTCCTGCTCTTGCTTACCCTGGGTCAGACTCTCTTCGTGCTACCAGTCCTACTGTCACGCGTCTCCTTGCTACTGTTGTCACTGACCCTTCCTTTGAGTCTGCTGCTGCGTCTGCCTTAGTTGCTGAGCTTGTCGACTTTGCTGCTCGCTGTCGTCTAGACTACGCTGCTAGCCTAGTTGCTGAGTCTGAGTCTGTCTCTCCTCCGTCCGTCCGGGGTGAGTGTGCTCTTGGCACTGACGTCCTTGAGGACAGGCAGGAGGAGTTTGAGTGCTTTGCTGTCGCTTTGCCCCATCTCGTATCCATGCTTGTTGCCCCTGAGGGAGACCCGGATGCACCAGACATCCCGACCCCACGCTCTTACGCAGAGGCGATGGCCGATCCCTACTCCTCTCAGTGGCAGTCAGCCATGGACACAGAGATGGCTTCCTGGAAGTCCACAGGCACCTACGCCGACGAGGTTCCCCCACCTGGGGCGAACATCGTCAGTGGCATGTGGATTTTCAGGGTGAAGCGGCCGCCGGGCTCTCCGCCTGTCTTCAAGGCGCGTTACGTTGCACGAGGCTTCAGTCAGCGAGAGGGAGCTGACTTCTTCCAGACCTTCTCCCCGACCCGGAAGATGTCCACTCTTCGGGTTCTGCTGCACGTCGCCGCTCAGCGTGACTACGAGCTCCACTCGCTTGACTTCAGCACTGCATTCCTGCAGGGCAGCCTGCACGAGGAAATCTGGCTGCACCGTCCACTTGGCTTCACAGGGTCGTTCCCTCCTGGTACCCAGTGGAGCCTCCGACGGCCAGTCTACGGTCTCCGCCAGGCGCCTCGTGAGTGGCACAACACACTGAGGACTACGCTTGCGGCTCTTGGGTTCGCGCCTTCTACTGCTGACCCGTCGCTGTTTCTACGCACCGACACCTCACTGCCACCGTTCTACGTCCTTGTGTACGTCGACGACTTGGTCTTTGCTACTGCTGACACTGTGGCACTCACCTACATGAAGTCGGAGCTGTAGAAGAGACACACGTGCACAGACCTGGGTGAACTGACAAGCTATCTTGGCTTGCGGATCACCCGGGACAGAGCACGCCGCACCATCACCTTGACTCAGTCACACATGGTGCAGCAGGTCCTTCAGCGCTTCCGCTTCACGTACTCCTCGCCTCAGCCCACTCCTCTGCCTACCGGTCACTCGCTCTCAGCTCTGCCATCGGATGAGTTCGTAGAGCCGAGTGGCCCGTATCCAGAGCTTGTGGGTTGCCTCATGTACCTGATGACCTGCACTCGACCAGACCTTGCATACCCTCTCAGCATTCTTGCACGCTATGTCGCTCCCGGCCGTCACCGGAAGGAGCACATGGATGCAGCTAAGAGGGTGTTGCGCTACTTGTGCAGTACGTCGGGCATGGGGCTAGTGCTTGGAGGGCGAGTCCCAGTTGTTCTCACTGGGCACTCAAACGCTTCTTGGGCTGACGACCAGGCTACTCAGCGGTCGTCTCAGGGTTACTCCTTCAGTCTTGGCTCTGGTTCTGTTTCTTGGCGTTCTACTCGCTTTTCTTCTATTCTCAGCTCCAGTTGTGAGGCTGAGATCTACGCCACAGCCATGGCGGCCCAGGAGCAACGCTGGCTCACCCACTTGCTGACCGACCTTGGAGAGCAGCCTCGTTCTCCTCCAGTGCTGTACGTCGACAACAAGGCAGCCATTGCCTTGTGTGAGGAGCACAGACTGGAGCACAGAACGAAGCACATTGCTCTGCGTTACTTCCTTGCTCGAGAGCTGCAGCAGCGTGGTCAGCTTCGCCTGTGTTACGTGGCCTCTAAGGCCAACACTGCTGATGTGTTCACCAAGGCGCTTCAGCCTTGTGACCATCAGCGCTTTTGCACTCTTCTAGGCCTTGTGCCTACTGGACCTCACTTGCTTACTTCTTGAGTCTGTTTGTACTGTGATCTCTATATATATACCTGCATGTTTACTCTTGTTAGGTTGTGATCATTGTACCTTTTGCTCTATTATAAACCTGCATGTGAACTGGTCTTGTGACCACTTGCTTGTGCTCGGAATTTGTGTGGTATCCTTGAGATCCACCCTGAGCTTGTTTTGCCTTGCTTTGCCTTGACTGGTCTTGTGACCCCTAGTACTCCCCCACTTTGCCTATGGGGGTGTGTCAAACATTATATATGTTGTGTTAGTTTAGGCTACAGTGGGTTAGCCTATAGGGGGTACACAATTCTAGGGTTAGGTACTTGTACTCATTTCACTGCTAGTTCATTCATTCCTGTTCAGTGATTCCAACAGAGCAAAGATATCCACACCCTGCTTAAGCAGCTCTAGCCAGCAGGGGAGCTCAGCCGTATCGCCAAACTCTGCACGCGAGGTGTCGCTCAAATAGGAGAAGCAGCAAGACTGTGTGTGACCAGCTGTCCTGTAAGTTTGACCAGCCCGATCACCTGTGCGAATGACGTACGGGCAGCGAGCACTACTCCGAGACGCCCCACGCTGAGCGTACCACTCGCGAAGCTGCTGGGGCGTAAGGGTCTCCCGCGGACGCCGCTGCAGCTGCACCAGGCCACCGCCAGAAACTCCCAACAGAACAGCTGCACAGCCACTGCCCCTACTGCCGCCACCACCACTCCTACTAGTGTACCACTCACGTAGATGCTGGGGCGGAAGGGTCTCGCGCGGACGCCGCTGCAGCTGCATCTGGCCACCGCTAGAAACTCCCCACCAACAGCTCCACAGCGACTGCTACTACGTCCGCCACCACTCCCACAGCTAATACGAAGAGAAGTCATAGCGGGCAGGCACTAGTGTAGGTCGGGGCGGCGCACGGTCAGGGAAGGGCGGCACGCGGCCAGAGCAGAGACGTCGCGCGGGCTTTAGGGTGGTGCGCAGGCTGCCAGGGTGGCGCACTCGCGGGCAGGGTGGACGGGCAATGCGACGGGCAGGGCCGCACAGGCGGCGCGACGCGACGGACAGCAGGGGCGCGCTTTGCGGCAGGCTGTAGGGGTCTGTGACGCGTCGGGCTGCAGGGGCGCGCGATGCGGCAGGCTACGGGGGCGCGCGACGCGGCAAGCTGCAGGGGCACGCGACGCGTCGGGGGCTGCAGGGGCGCGCGACGCGACGGGCTGCAGGGGCGCGCGACGCAACGGGCTGCAGGGGCGCGCGACGCGACGGGCTGCAGAGGCGCACGACGCAGGGCAGGGCAGGACGTGCGCGGGGCAGGGCAGGGCGTGCGCGGGGCAGCGCGACGCGGGGCAGGGCAGGGCGTGCGAGGGGCGGCGCGATGCGAGGCAGGGCAAGGCGTGCGCGGGGCAGTGCAACGCGGGGCAGGGCGTGCACGGGTAGCAGGACGCAAGGCAGGGCAGGGCAGGGCGCGTACTGACGGCGCAGCGTAGGTCAGGGCGTGGGTTAGCGCGGTAACCGCAATCGGTCACTAGCTAATGGTGGGCCGAAAAAAAATGGTCCTACGGACCTACTGCTCTGAAACCATGTCAGAAACTAATGAGCAGGATTGAATGCATTGAGCAGAAAGTTGATACAAGTATGACCCTAATTGGGTGTACCCTATATAGGCTACCCCACTACAGCCTACACAGCACACAGAGCATGATAGTTTGACAGGGGGGTATAACGAAATCGAGGTTTAATAAAGTACCCCCTCTGTATTAGGTGCCCGAGGGTGTTGTATTTTGGGAGGGTGTTCTATCCGGGGGAATTCGGTAGCGAGGATTGCACTATGTGGTCAAAAGAGTACAAAGTATGAGCGAATACTTATGTGCAAGACATGCAACGGTTACGCAACGCGTGCGAGCTAGCTAGTGCTAGGCTGGCATCGAGGTTCGGGCAAGTCCCGAAGCGTAGGCTGACTCGGCCAGGCCAGCGGTGCATAGCTTGGTAAAACAGTGCGCGCGAAATTAGCGAAGTCCCGTTAGCTGTAACAGGCGAACAACGGCTTGCTGCTGTACGCGATGTTGAAGAACGCGGTAAGGAATGCTGAAAAATTCCTTACACTTCCCCCCCCCCCCCCCCCCCCCCCCCCCCCTTAAGCCCCCTCCGCTGCGCGAGTGCATGTATATCGCGGAAACCCCAGCTCCTCAGGCACACTTGTAGGGCAGGGTGATTTTTTATGTTGGCCAGGGGCAACTAGCCCTGGTATCCTCAGTTGGTGTGCGGTCCTTCCAGCGAACGAGGAAGTCGATCCTCTTGATGCATGTGGGATGACGAATCCGATGGCTCCGAATTTTCTGGGGTTCGATGATCGACTCCGATGCACGGCGAGACATTGACGGTGGGGGATGCCGTGGCAGTTGGCTTGTGGTCAGAATGCACGGACGAAGTAGGCTGACGTGGAACGATGGGCTGATGTACCAATCTGTCGGCAATAGTCAATGGGCGGTAATTAGGGTGATCATGTGGCTGATTTGGAACGGTCCATAGTGGTACGGTCGAAGTTTCGGTACTACGGGCGGTCTTAAATTCTGTGTGTCGAGCAGGACGTAGTCTCCTGACTGGTACGTGACTGGGCAGCGGTGGCGGCCACCGTTTCTTTTAGCGATGACAATTGCTTTTTTAATTGCTTTTGCTGCTCGTGTTTGGGCAGATTGCAGTATCTCTGCGAACTCTTGAGCGCGTGGCATGGGGTTGTCCGAGCTCGGCGTCATGGGCACTGTTGGATTTTGCCCGTAGTCCATGTAAAACGTGGACTATTGCGTCATCGCTGACGTGGTGTTGTTGTAGGCAAACTCGATCATCGGCAGCTGCTGCTCCTATGTTGTTGGGTCGTCGCATGTGGCACGAATCAACTGCTCCATGGTCTGGTTCGTCCGCTCCGTTTGACCGGCGGTCTCAGGGTGGTACGACGAGCTAAACTGTAGCCTGGTCCCGAACTGCTCCCAAAGGTTCTTCCAAAAGTTGCTGGTAAACTCCGTGTCGTGGTCGCTGATTATCGCGGCTGGTATCCCGTGCAGTCGAACGACGGTTACGGTGAACAGACGAGCGGTTTCTTCAGCTGAGATCGATTTCCTGCACGTAGCGAAGTGAGCCATTTTCGTCAATCTGTCAACGACGACCATAACCGCGTCGTTACCCCCAGGGTTCGAAGGTAATCACGTGGCGAAATCCATGGTAACCTGCTGCCAGGCGCCCTCGGGCGGTGGAATCCACTGCAATCGACCCGCCTTTCTTCATCACCTGACGCGTAGGACACGACCCCACGTGGTGTTGTACGTCGGTCAATAGCTCCGGCCAACGCGAGGACAGCGGCTCCTAGGCGCTAACGGGCATGAGTCCCTTCGAGAGCAAAAATCAAAAGTTGATTTCTCTATGTTCGGAGATGCGCGGTCCGAAAGAAAGTGGTTCTTAATACCAAGTGTTACGTGTGCTATGAATTGAAGTAGCGAGGATTGCACTATGTGGTCAAAAGAGTACAAAGTATGAGCGAAGGCATGAGCGAATGCTTATGTGCAAGACATGCAACGGTTACGCGATGCGTGCGAGCTAGCTAGTGCTAGGCTGGCATCGAGGTTCGGGCTAGTCCCGAAGCGTAGACCGACTCGGCCATGCCAACGGTGCATAGTTTGGTAAAACAGTACGTGCGAAGTTGGTGAAGTTCGAGTACTGCATGCTGCTGACTGGACAAAGCCACGTCACCATCAGCGACACTCCAGAAGCGAAGGGGGGTGTTGGGAACAAATAGCCTTAAGCGCTTATGTCGTGTCGAAACTTCAAGACACAAGCGAAGCATCGCAAATCGAAGCACCAGCGAGTCAACCCTCGGAGTTGATGTAACCGCTGGAGGTTACGAGAAAGTCAAAGGTCAGCGACCTTTGACTTGACAAAAGCAGCGCGACAGCAAGGACACACAACTGACTCGATATTGAGCAGTTGCCCGAGTCGCACTGTATCGAACCGCAACAGTAAACTAGTTACAATTATGTCTCTTCATATTCTCTGTACTCATATATATTTTCTTGTATCTCTTCGTTTTAATCAACTTACTTTGCCCTCACATACTA